CCACACTTTTCTTGGGCCATTATCTCCGTAACCGTTCAACTTTGGACATAGGTGTTTTGGGTTATATCGGCATACTTTAACATAAGGAACACCCTCCCGAAGTTTGGCACATTCCTCCTGGGACACCCTGTATATACACGCTACCAAATTCTCGGAGTCGCTATTTCATTGAAATAGCTCATCTTATACTCGTAAGGCTGAGTGGACCCCGTTCCAGACCCACTGCTTCTCAGAAAATCTGGTAGAGCCGGGAATCGAACCCGGAACCTCTGGATCTGTAGCCAGTAATTCTGAACACTATACCACAGAGGCGGTCTATAAATATATATCATTCTACCAAATTTCGAAATCTAAATCTGATAGGAATTTATATTCTATAAATAAAAGTATCTGAAAACAGGCTTATTATCATTTCCACTGAAAATCTAAATGCTTCTTCGTTGGCTTCACAATCGCTGTCCTTCGCATGCGTCGAAAATGCGACTAGAAGCGGGTTGTTTGAAGCCCCCAACTACTGAGGCATGAAAAGTCTGAAAACTTTGAGCCAAAGGTAAAAGCTGACTTGTACGACCATTTTATACACACGAACATATGCACATACTTGTCTATACGTGTAAAACTTCTTGTAGGGCGTGTCAATATCGGATATGCCGATCACAGTTGCCGCGCAGTTTACGGTATGAACTGTTTTTCCCGCCCGAACACTGGGATCGTGGGTTCGAATCCCACAGTGTTTGTGTTGTCATGAACCTTGCGAGGGCTGATCCCCCGTCCAATGGGTCCTACCGACTGTCTACAAGATTAAGAACGTGAAGTGAAACGAAGCGTTCCATGGCTGCCCTATGCTTCCAGTTAGAGCAACAAGAATATGAATGAATGAATGAATGAATGACTATCGGATGTAGATACCCACGTCATGATGAGAAACACAGTACATTACGCTCTCAACAGGAGACGAGAACCAGAACTGCCATACCGGATATTTCGTGGTGTACAAACAAATTTTCTTCCTTAAAGTTGCCTTAACAAGGCCTGATGTTTCCTCAGAGCTGGTTTACACTAGGTTTATGAATGGCTGCTACATAATTTGTAGAAGTACTACACACAACCTTCAAAAACATCAAACGACAGTGGTTGAAAATCACAATGTTCTGGGACATGATCATTTGTATCTACCAAACTACACGGCGTCACAACAGAGAATACAGTAACCTTCATATTCACTGCCGTGTGAATCTCCGACTTCATATACACAAAGCTTCGTCGGTTCGAATCACACTCAGGGCATGGATGTTTAGTGTGTGTATGCGTTTATTCTGTGTTTGTGATTGTGTTTAGGAAGCGGCCTTGTGACGAGCTGATCGCTCGTCCAGGCAGTCCTATCGTCTGCGAAAAATGATTACGGAAATGAATAAGAGGCCTGGGCCCTGAATGGGCTGGAAGAGGAATTGAAAAAATATATTAGGTATATTTATTTATTGTTTTAAAGTGTTCTTTCTTACAAGAATCCAGGAGGAGGGCAGGTACCTACTGTACTTCTCAATGTTCTTATAATTTTTGTCAATCAAAACGTGAGAGAATATTTTATTAGCGAACACAAATTTATACTTAATTAAAAGAACGTTAATAAGATCCAAAAGTTTGTGACGATGGTAAATTTATACAAGTGTTAGCTCTATCGATTGGGCCCAACTGAGTAGGTTTTACCTGAGGACGGGGACAGAATCCAGTCTCCGAAACGTTGTTTTTTTAAAAATAGACAAGACGATGGATAATGTCCAAAAACATATTATTCGTACTTGTAAAAGAACGTTATTGCACCAAATTGCGACGTGATACTTGGGTTCATATCTTGCATTGTGCGTGTTACAGCTCTTTCTTGCGTAAAACTGACCAATCACCTCCCGCTAGCGCCGAGGTCAGGAAAACTTGGATCTATACATTCACTATCAGAAACGGCTTCATGGTGTAGTGCTTAAGTAGTTGAGCACAGGGACAACTTTATCTTTTTTTACCATAAAGTAGCTTCAAAATACCCCTCAAAATTCGATGTACACTCAGCAAAGCACAAAATTTCTATAGACGGTGACTGCGAAGTCCCTTGGAGTTGTGGCTCTGTTTAGCCGGACGACAGTGACCCATTTCTTCTGTAGAAGTCTGATGTTTTCTCTCTGACGCGTAGGCGCCGCTGGATCCTGGTGGCCCTGCTGAGCAGGAGACAAGGTGTGACAAGTTTCGCGCGTTGGCAAATCACTGTGGGCGCATATAAAAGAACAAGGCGTCCAAGGGTGCCTCTGCAGTAGACGATACATCCTGCAGCCATGAGGACCGGCTTCAGTACCGAACAGCACCTTGTCCAGAGCATCGTCCTTTTGTTACTAGTGACCTTCCTGATATCCTGCAACGGTACGTAGTTCACCTTGCCTGTGGAGGTTTTTTTTCGTAGTGGTGGATACTGAATATCAGTGCCGAGCGATTTTGCTAGCTGTTCGTAATGAGGGAGATAGCGAGTTAAAATTCCGGCTCAAAGGCCATCTATCATTCATGGTTTTTCTCAGACCCTTCAATCAAATTCTGTGACAGTAACTTAACAAGTAGCTCTTGGAAGAACTGATTGCCTAATTTCTTTTCACTATATATTTAGTATTTGATACGGTACGGACCGCATAAAAATTACAGCATTCAACAGCCCATATATTGTTATGTGTGTATTCGTTGGTTTACGGAGACGTTGCCTAGCAACGGCCATCACATAAACCTCCCTTTATTCTTTCGAAATAAGGAGTGTAAACTAGAAGCAGAAGACCAATATTTCCATGCCCTCTTCAAATAAACATGCCTGTATTATATTGCCATTATATTCTAGCTAACATAAACAGCTCAAGAAGCGTCTTTAAATAATTTAAGAATCTATAATTGTAATTATAAAAAGGTAAAGAAGGTAAAGCTATCTCTGTACCAGGCCGTGGAGGTCCATAGGGTTGTGAGACGTCGAGGCTCCCTCATCGTCTAGACAATCGGCTCACAGATGGCGGTAAGGTTATCAGCCTTACGCATCGGCTGCCCTTTACCCCCGCCCCCAAGGAAGATTCCTGGTACTCATTTCTGTTAGAGGTTGAGTCAAACCCAGGGCCATAGAGCGGCTGGAAGGATTAGGTAAATTGAAATAAATCCACCTTATCGGGAATCGAAACCACGACCTTTCGGCTTGTAGACTAGTGCCTCAACAAACTACGCATTCATTTACTATTTAACGACGCTACCAGCGGAGTCGAAACAGGAGTAATGAATGGCGAAATGGAGAGCATGAGGAAGAAAGTGGTCGTGAATTATTTCAAGGTACTATTCTGACATCTTCTTGAAGGGACTGAGGAATATCAGGAGAGAAGCTCAGCCAGGGCAGTGTGTGTTCAGGAGAGATTCGAAACGAATAACTCAGGAATGCGATTCAGAAGAATTACCACTTGAGGCATGGTTGCTAGGTAACAATATGTGATCAGTATATTCGAGGCGATTCTGGTAACGACGAATTACTAATTTCCTTCAGTTGTCCACCGCCCAATGCTCTAAAATTGGAAGGCAGAATTGCGCAAGATGCATGAGTTTCGGTCTATTGTATTCACTACAGAGAACTAATGTAAATAACCCAGTTCTGAGTCTAGGATTAGCTCTTTCTAACGGACTCAAGTAAGTAGTCACCTCTCACCTGAAGAAGGAAGCAAATTATACTGTCGAAATATTAATTTCTCTTCTAGAATATTCACTCTAACGGACCGAGCTGATTAGGTACCCCTCACCTGAGAACGGAAGCAGATTCTGGTATCGAAATATTGCTTTAAATTTTAGAATAAGTTCAGAAAGTTGCCATGACGAAGTGAAACCAATCTGCTATATGTTTACTCGCGAAGCCAATGATAATACTTGTACTTGCTGCAGCGCGCGACATGAGGCAGTTCCAGCGGGCTGTGCTTCTCCGTATGAACCAGACGTGTGGAATTTCCTGACACTCGGATGTCTGTATGTATTATTCCATGAGAGAAATACAGCGGGGGCCATAAAGACAAGGAAAACGATAAATTACGCGATAAAGAGGCGATGTTGAAAACGTGATTCACCGGCATAATTTACTGAAAAAGTGACAAGAACGACAAGACGCGAATTCACTATAATTTTATTCTTTATTTACGTCCTTAAGTACTCGTCATATTGAAAAGTGTTGGATGGATGACACATGAACATACACCAGAGAAAATGTTTTTTTATATGAAACGGAAATGTGATCTTGCTGGAAAGGGGGTTTGTTTGTTTTACGACGCTATCAGTAGGGTCGGGTAGTGGGATAACAGATGAAACATGAATTACGAAGGATTGAAGGGAAGCAAATAAACAAAACAAAAACTCCGTGGTTCTAGTCCGCAAGCGAACTATACCGACCAAGTAACCGACACTTGTCGGCGAAGTTAGTGGCAACTTTAGCGGAGAGAGGGTGTCGCGTGGTCAGCGCAACGAATCCCCACGGCCGTTAATCTCGGTTTTTGGAAGGAAGCAGTCGTGACTAAATTGACGTAATAACCCGAGATTTGCCTAAGGGGGCTGAAGAAAATATTGGAAGATCTCAGCTGGGAAAAACAGGTATCTTGGCCTGGATTCCAGCTGAGAGCCTCTAGGTTCGAGTAGTGGGAAGACTCGCCAACGCCATCTCGTTAAGTACATGGCTCTTAATGCAGAAGACTGATATATTTCCTGGCAACGCTGGTTCTCTCGTCTCTTCCAGAAAAGTTTGGGACAATATCATGCGAGACACTTAGATCGTTTCCTTTCACATCCTTACTTTGGTCTTGCATCACGGGGGCAACAGATGTGCTTCTCTGACTCCAGTTTCAGGGCTCCGATTGGGCACGGATCCGATAGGTGACGCCATTCTGCTGGGCCTTGACGGGGCGCGGGATGATGGGCCGATGGTGAAGAAGAGTGACCCACAGGTGTACGGAATGTGGTTCGGACCAAGGCTCGGACGACGCGAGAGGCGTTCAGTCGATGAGATACTGGACGACGCTGGTGACGGCAGAGTGGAGGAGGTCCTCCAGCTACTGAAAGAAACTCCATGGGTACTCGTTCCTCTCAAAGGTACAGTCTCACTTCTGTGGAAATGAATCTAGTAGGAAGGTCATGCATGACAACGGAGATCCTGTTCTTACCGTAGTTTAAAACATTGCCTGCAATGTTTCCAACGTGAAAACTTTGCAGAGTTTACTGGTATGAAGGTAAAAAAAGTTAGAAGAACAACTAATTGCCTACTTTCCTTTCAATATATATATGATATGGTACGGGCTGTCCAACAGTTCTTCTATAGTTGTAAGTGCGTTACTTGCTACGGAAACATGTTTACCGAGCCACTGTCCGACAGTGGCCAGGGAACGTATTTACCGAGCCATTGCCTAGAAATATTCGTCTATTTTGGCTTCACTAATCCAGCTTTCAGGTATTTTGGGGGCGCAGACAAAAAACAAAAAGGTGCTTCCAAAAGCCGCTTTTTATTTTTTTCAAACGAAGAAAGTAGGCTAACAAAGTAAAATTGTCTCTGTGTTTCATTAGTTAAGCACCACGCCATGAATACGTGTCTGGGAGTGGAGGTATAGCTCCACCTTTCTTGATCTCGGCATTAGATGGAGTGAGTGGTCAGCTTCATAGGCTGTGCGCTTAACCCCGGAGAAATGGTCCCGGTGTAGATCGGATAGGAGACAGGGTGGGCCAAAGAATCGGTTTCGACGCTGTGAGTTGGAGAAAAAATATCTTTCCCCTGCCGGCAATTGAACCCTGGCCATCCAGCCAGTAACCCTTCCTTATAGCGACTAAACTTTCAAAGCTCAAAAGAATTTACTGGTATATTGTATATAAATTTTTAATGCTAGTGGGGTAGGACTAAGTCCCTTGTACTGCGGCCACTTGCGGCCTATTGTACCAGCTCTAGATGATAGATGAGGGTGATTGTGGAGCAATTGGTGGAATGAAGATTGGCAGGGGAAACCGAAGTACTCGGAGAAAACCTGCCCCAGCGCCACTTTGTCCATCACAAATCCCACTTGACCAGACCCAGGATCGAACCCGGGCCGCCGCGGTGGGAAGCCAGCGACTAACCGCTTGAGCTATGGCGCGGCCCCTTCATTGTGTCTAAAACATATTTTAAATTTCTTCAGACCAGATAATTTCGTAGATTGTTACGATATCATTAGAAACCTACCAGATTCCACTTTCAACGTAAGTCTGGCAACGAAATCGCCATGACGTAAATCTCGTTTAATATGCGGCTATTGTCTTGCGTAAAACTGTCTATTGAAGATGCGGCGTTAGAAAGCAGTTGCGGGCTCAGAAGCATAGAATTGCACTTTATATCAATATTTAGTTACGGATAAAGATACCGCTGTAACAGGCCGTGAAGGACCATAGGGTTGTGAGACATCGAGGTTCTCACATTTTCTAGATAATCGGCTCACAGATGTCGATGACGTCAGCCTTACGCGCGGGCCGCCCTTTACCCCCCAGGAAGATTCCTGGTATTGATTTCTGTCAGAGGCTGAGTTGACCCCAGGTCCATAGTGCGGCTGGAAGAATTGGGACAATTGAAAATATCCACATCATTAGGACTTGAACCCGCGATCTTCCGGCTTGTAGCATAGTGCCTCAACCACTACGCTACCGCGTGTATTAGACGTTCCGAATTCAGAAAAGAAATCTTACTAAAGGAATATACAAGTATGTACTGCATGTACATAGGCTATTTGTGTATGTATGAACTTAAACACACATTTCTTTCTTACCTACAACCAGACACCGAAGAGGTCGGCTTGGTGCTAAAGCTCTAAGCTTGTATTTGGGAGATGTTCATTTCGAATCCCGCCCGGAACGTCAGATATTCTGAGGATTTTTATGGTTGACCTCAGTCATTCCAGGAAAATGAAAGAACACCAACCTGGATTAAGCTATCATCGTTTATGTTTCCAATTATATCCATTTCCTCGTCATTCGTCTATATCTATATTCGTAATCTATATCTATGTCTATGTCTATAACCTGTATCCAAAAACTGTGAAAATAGAGTGAACAAATAGAATAAAAATTACTTATTTCGGGGGAATTATCTGCCTCTGTCTTCATAATATATTATTATACTGCGTCACGTCCAATAAGATAATAATCTTCACAGTCATCTCCGTGAAAACTTAATATCTCAAATAGAGATGTTGATGGGTCGTACATGCAGCATTCAGTAAATCTATACAAAATTCTATTTGAAAATTCCATGGAATGAAGCCACCGGTGACGCCAAAGCCTAATGGACATGATAAGAGTTATAAACCGAGAAAACCGAGATTAACGGCCGTGGGAAGCCGTTGCGCTGACCACGCGACACCCTCTATCCGCTAAAGTTGGCACTAACTTCGTCAACAAGCGGCGGTAACTCGGTCGGTATAGTTCGCTTGTGGACTAAATCACGGAGGAAATATTGTGAAAATTAGTTTTATGTTAATTTAAATAAACTGATTTCAGACAGAATTTATCCCTCGTGTTTCATAACAACATTTTTCTTTAAGAACAGAGTACATAACGGGTTTTTTCAAGTGAATATTGATCAGTCATTCAATCAGTCACATGCGGATCTTGCTTACAGGAAATAAGCGTCAAACAGGGTCTTTCATCCCTCGCCTGGGCCGAGATTCGAAAGAAGAAGAAGAAGATCCCGACGCCATGGAGCAGAGGTCCCCGCCGTTCGCCCCAAGACTTGGACGACGCCTTGTACCTTTCCGGCCAAGAATGGGGCGCGATCGCCTGCCCTACGATGTATACTCTCCCCGCCTGGGACGCAGCGTGCAACCCTCACAGCCGCAAGGGAAGAAAGAAGCGCCACAGCACTAACACCATCACAGTTCTCTCTTAGATTTGATGTAGTTTCAACATTGTAATAAAACACTTGTACTGATTTGCATGTCTGTCCGCAGCATTAAATCTTTCCTTCATGGACGCGGCCCAACTTCCGGTCACCGGAAGATCCCTACATACGAGTATACCGAATGATTTCTAGAACGATAATAAAGTATTTACAATGTTAATAACGTCGTTTACCAGAGGAGTACGGCCATTTTAGCGAAACTCGAATATGCAGAACGACAAGAACTTTATTCAGAGTAAGGGTTTCTTTACGACCTGTGAGCTAGTGGTCAGACTTCCTAGCTACAGATCCAGAGGTCCCGGGTTCCAATCCCGGCGCTACCAGTTTCCTTGAGAAGTAGTGGGTCTAGAACGGGGTCCACTCAGCCTCGTGAGGATAATTCAGGAGCTATTTCAAGGAAACAGAGGCTGCAGTATAGAAAACCGACATTAACGCCCATGAAGATTCGTTGCTCTGACCACGTGACACCCTCTATCCGCTAAAGTTGGCACTAACTTCTCTGACAAGCGGCAGTCGCTCGGTCGGTATAGTTAGCTTGCGGACTAAAGCCACGTAGTTTCTTTCTTTGTTAATAGTTTGTTTACAGCACATATTGTTACAGTGAGCACCAGTATGTTGCGTACATAACCGAGCATGATGAAGCATGAGCACTTGCATAAAGAGTCACGGATGAAATGTAGGCAGTAGTGATGGCTAAGATGGCTTTCAGTCTATCCACATTGTGTTGCTTCTGACGGTAGTCACTGGCCTTAACGTAATTCTAGCCCTGTAATACATGATGTTATTAACATTACTAACATAAGCAGCCTCCGTATTCTAGGGGTAACGTTCCCACCTCATGACTCAAGGTACGCGGGTCGTGGATTTTTTAAGGGTGGAAAATTCAGGGAACAAGTCCTCCGGGAGGTACTTTAAGCCGTGGGTCCCGTGTCGTAGATTTACGGCACGTAAAATATCCTCATGTCTCTAGGAGATCTCTGAGCAAAATTAGGCAAAAAGTTTCCCGTCCAAAGTAGTTTCCAATGCCTCTGGTAGCTAGGGAAAATATCAGGTACAGAGGGCCGACCTCGTTGGCTGAACGGGGCTGATAGCACGCACCAGTACCGGTAGGGTATGGAGACTGGTAGAATATCAAAGGGGGACGTACAGTAGACTATTAGTCGCGGTGCATGGGGAAAACTCACCCCCTCTAATAATAATAATAATAATAATAACATTACTAACATGGGTTTTGGTTTAACAAAACCAATGCCTTTCTCTTCATATTGGGCACTTGATACAGCACAGGCTGTATAGAAAATGTAGCTTCCAACATAATTCTTTTGTTGTTGCGTACGTTACTGCGGAAATGTGTTGATCACGCCGTTGCCTAATAAAGAACGTCTCCTCTGGCTTCGCTATTCCGGCTTTGAGGCATCGTGTCACAATATAGTCACGTATAAGGAGTAGGCGTGACTAATAATTGTGGGTTCTAGATGTGATTATTGGATTTACTGGACGTCTCTATTAGAATCAGAGTTGATTATAACAGCTCACACATTGAACTCCTTCTGGCTAACTAATCTCTCACTGTATTTCTTAGTAGTACGCAATATGACCATCTACTGGGCTGGGCTTCGCTGAGTACGTTCCCTTGGCAACGCGAAATAGACCGTTGTTAGAAAAGGGATTGTTAAAACACGCCTCGCGGCAACGAACACAGTAATCAAAGCGTTGCCCCGAATTAATACATGGCACCCAGCACAACGGAGGCGTGAACAGCAGGACTGGAACCCTTTAAGGCGGTGATTTCTGTGCGCTTCTCCAAAACATATCAAAGGAGAAGATTTTGCAAGACAGAGCTAACTCCCGAGTGGAGGCGGGTTCGAATACCTCCACCGTAATTCTGCGAGTCGTAGGAGGCGAAGGAAAGGGAAGTCTTAAATTTGGGACAGTAAAATATGGTCGCGAGTCCCAAGGGACTCGGACCCGAGAATTACTGCGCTGGCGAGGACCAGCAGAAATTGTGAAAGACAGACCCCGTCCTCTCGTCAGAGAGAGGGAGAGAGCGCCCCAAATCAACAAACCGGAAACCGTCTAACAGTAATAAATATGACCGTAAGCCCCAGATGGGTGCCATATTCCGAGACAGACTGGCCGACTGACCGTCGGTCGTGACATAAGGCTGGACTCCTCTCGACAGAGCAATGAGTCAGTCATACTGAGTAGGAGAAGACTAGAGGCTAGAGAGCAGTTCAGTCCTACTAGGAGGAAGCAGGTAAAGGCGGGACTGGAACGGAGATCCTCAGAATTACATTAAGTCCGGATGGAATTTTTTTTTCTTGGCACTACAGCCCCAGTGAGCCTAGGCCTACCTCCATGAACTTCTCCGTTCACTTCGGTTTTTCTAGATCTTACACGTTCGGTAGGACTCCTTGGGCGGGTGATCAGCTCGTCGCAAGGCCTCTACCTGTATACAAACACAGAAAAACGCACACACACAAACTAAACATCCATGCCCTGAGTGGGATTCGAACCCAAGATCCCGGTTTCCAAGCGAGCGAAGACAGTACATGCCTTAGACCGCTCGGCTACCGTGACCGGCTCGGATGGAATTTACCTACGTAAATTTATACCGGTTCATTCTGAGCGAAGCCACTGGGCGCAAATTAGGTGAAAATAGATGCTTACTCATTGATGGGCTACGTCACGAACAGGAAGACCTGTAGTACGTGGTTCCCCTAGCTTGTCCGACAACTTCTCCGACATGCTTGTATGAAGTGTAGTCTAAATACAGTTATTCGGGGGCAAAATACGAAGAATATTGTCTTCTGGGTTGTAGCGACGCGTAGTGTAGTAGAAGTCTACAGACATTTCGGAGGAACACTCCATGAAGTTGCAGACAGTACGGTCCTCCAAAACGCTAGTGAATTTTTACCCGACTATACACATTCGAAGGGTTACGCATTGGCGTAGTTGGTTGAGGCACTATGCTACAAGTCGGGAGGTCGCAGGTTAGAGTCCCGATGAGGTGGATTTTTTAAATTTATCTAATCCTTCCAGCCGCATTATTGCCTTGGGGTCTACTTAGCCTATAACAGAAATGAGTACCAGGAATCTTCCTGGGCGGCCGGCGTTTAAGGCTGACAACCTCACCGGCATCTGTGAGCCGATTGTCTAGAAAATGCGGGAGCTTCAACATCTCACGGCCTGTTACAGGGATAGCTTTACCTATACGCTTTGTACACAGTGCTCTTCTTAGCCACTGGTGTGAGAAATTCAAACAACGCGTAATTCTATCCACGGTGTCTTCAGATTATTGGCTCCTGTTTCTGAGAAACTGTGACGTATGAACTCTATAACTGAAATTCGAATTTATTGGAGTCGATGCTTGACCATATGAACTATGAAACACGAGTTTGAAATAAGAAAATATGTTACGAAAGTAGGAGAAATTAAAAGTAATAGGGGCGGCAAGAGGCAGTTTTTTAGGGGGAGGTAAGAGCGCAATTTTGTGACAGAGTTCCCGGCCTTCGCTTCGTCGGCCTTCTGATAAGATATATGAAAGTGAAGGTGATAAGCAGGGCCCGGATTTTGATGACCTGAAAATATTTAAAAAAATGACCTATAAATGACCGAAAAAATCCAGAAAAGTGACCTAAAATATGACCCAAACATTTAATATGCAGGGCCTGGATTTTGATGACCTGAAAATATTCAAAAAATGACCGAAAAAATCCAGAAAAATGACCTAAAGGAGAAAAGAAAGAAGAATTCGCTTCCATGATATTCACATTTCAGAAAACATGTGAAGAAAAATTCCCTAAAATTGCCAAAAATGACAAGAAATACCCTTAAAAGTCTAAACATTTACCACAAATTACCCCCAAAATGAAAAAATTACCTTAAAACTAAAAATGTCAAAAAAATTACAAAAAAAATGCCTATAAAATTTACATTTCTGTAACCAGCAGCTCATATCCGAGATTTATATATTTAAGAGCATCGCATAGGATACAAGGAAAATAAGATCATGTCATCAAAATCCGGGCCCTGGTGATAAGACGGTTTGAAGTCGTGACTTCAGACGGGAACGGCGAAATTTTGATATTCTCAGTTAGTATCAATATATATATACATTGAAATGAACTTAATGTACGTATTTTAATAATTGGCCAAATTTCATTTTAGCACAGGCGGTACGGGCAAGGGAGCCGAACTAGCACAGTCAGATAGCGGTTGCATGGCAGAAGAATTTGTGTTCGATTCCCGTCAGGTACAGGAAATTTTGTTCTCTCCTTAGCGTGCGAACCGACTCTGAGGCCCAACCAGCTTCCTTTCCAAGAGGTACCGAGGGGTAAACCGGCATTCATTTAGTGCCGGGGTCAAGAATGCGTGGTTGTTAACCTTCACTTCCCCATACATCTTCATGACGTAGTGGGATGAATTATTAAACGACGGTCACAGTAGCTATATTATAAAATTTCGAATGAGATGAAGGCAAATGAATGATGAATTGCAAAAGATTTGGAAGGAAACTGTCGTGACCTAATCGGGATATTATCCCGGAATTTTTTTCTCTGGAGGGATTGAGAAATGCCATGAGAAACCTCAGTCAGGATGTTCGAAAGAAGCACCTCCGACAATCGAGTTTAGAGCCTCACCTCTATGTATACCAGTGGTTAATTAATTAAGGCCAGGGAAAACGCTACCTGCGTAACAGAATGGAGCGCCTCTCCACTCCTTTTCGTAACGTGTGTGTGTCAGGATAGCTGTCGGTATAGCGACGGGCTGCATGGCCGGGGCTAAATTCCCGGGTGGGAGGAAAGAGATTTTTCCCTTCTCCGTAGCCTCCAGACTGGCTCTGAGGCTCACCCAATCTCCTATCCAATGGACGCCAGGAATTATAGCGACCGGGGCGTGAAGCTGACCATTCACCTCCTTCTACTGTCGAATCAAGAATGGTGCTATTATATCCACACTCCTCAAGAAGCACCCATAGCATCGTGCTTAATGAACTAAGCACGGGGACAACTTTACGTTTTAGCTTTGCGTGGGAAA